TTTTTTTTTTTTTTTTTTTTTTTCTCATTTCATTGTTGTTCTTTTGAGAATTTGTATTTTTATTTTAGGTACTATGGAGGTTGGGCTGCGCCAAATATCTACTTCTTGGGCGTTGCTGGTGTAGTAAAGTTTGGAAATATCCGTATTGGTGGGCTGTCTGGGATTTATAATGCACGCCATTATCGTCTAGGTGGGTGAATAACTTTCTGGCCGATGTTTATGTAGACGCAAAATGGTGAAAGGTAGTTATCTTGATTGATTAGAATACAGTCGAGGTTTTGTATTGTTTGGTTCTTCATGTGCTGCGTTCGTCATGGAATCTGGTAAACATTAATAGCCCCGAGTGAGAATGGCTTTCAGATTGAGTAGCTGCAAGTTTGTTCTGGATTGGGGTTTTTTTTATTCTGGAGTGCTTTTAAGGGGACTACACATTTTATGATCTTTTGAGGAGGTGTTTTATTGATAAAGCTTTTCTAAGGGATATATTGGTGGGTAGTGTACTAGCTCCTCATTAAATCATAACTCTTAAGAATATAGGAAGTCCTTCCTACTGGGAGCATGTTAAGCATATTGAAAAAAGTTGACATTTCGAATGTACGGTGCACTTTTCTCTCTATATGTTGCCTGTTATCTTAACTGCATTATGCAATAACTGATAAACTACATGCAACATGATCTTCTTCACATGTAATGAGCAGGTCACTACGAGAGGCCTCCATACAATGAGGATACTATAAGATCTGTTTACCATGTTCGTGAATACGATGTTCAGAAGCTTATGCAAGTTGAGGAACCCATTGACATTTTTCTTTCCCATGATTGGCCTGTTGGCATCACTGATTATGGAAACTGGAAGCAGCTTGTTAAGTTCAAACCATTTTTTGAGAAGGAGGTAGCTAAAAATATTTTGATTCGACCTGCTTACATAACCACTTACAAAAGAGCATGCATAGTAATTCTCTACATAATCTGAACTGCTTTACGTTGATGTAAGTTCTTTGATTGTTGCTTGGGTGTAAGATTAATATTCATTTTGCCGGTGTCCGCCTCTGACGTAAATTTCTAATGTTGTCATTGTCAGATGAATTTTGTACGTAGTTGATGTGAATAGTATCAGATCTGCTACATCTATCCATCACTCTTAATTCACATTAACCTGATCTTAGTAACTTGATAGCATAGGGTTAAAGTGAATGTTAGAAGATGATTGTATAGAGTACTATTAAATTCCATAAAAATCCTTTCAAAATTGCAAAGTTGACAAGACCTTCATTATAACAGCTAGATTTTCTTGTAAAGTCAGAAACAATGGATCTGGACCCCGAAAGCCAGTATAGATTATACTTCCTGCATCGTCAACTTTAAGTTATGAAGAAGGCATTAGTAAAGTGAACATATAGTTGTCAGAGAACCGAGAAATTAGACTTCTATTGCTGAACGTATTGAAGGATCCGACATATTAACTATAGAATGGTCCCTGGTGGAATTTAGACAGATTCCAGATAAAATATTTCAAATTCTCTGATAGGTTTATTTGCTGATTTTGTCCTTACCAGTAAACTTTTCCTGATTGTGCACTATTAAGGTTAATGATAACTTATGGAGTTGAATTTTAAATGCCAGATTCAGGAAAGACGTCTTGGGAGTAAGGCTGCAGCTGAGTTGCTGGAAAAGTTGAAACCACCTTACTGGTTTTCAGCTCACTTGCACTGTAAGTTTGCGGCTCTCGTTCAACATGGTGAAGGTGGCCCTTTGACAAAATTTCTTGCGCTTGATAAGTGTCTTCCTAAACGCAAATTTTTACAGGTACTTCGTTTTTTTTTTTGAGTTTCTTATTAGTAAATAGTAATAATCCATGTGGTCCTTTTTTCGATCTTCGTTAGACGCTGGTAATTTTAAAGCTTTAACTGTGGTATTTTAGGTTATTGAGCTTGAAGCAGAGCCTGGACCTTATGAGATTCATTACGACGAAGAATGGTTAGCAATAACACGAAGGTTCCATGAAATTTTCCCATCCACAGCCAAAAATGCAAACTATGGGTGCGTATGTTTTATGAGAACTTTTGGTGACGGTTTGATTGGACCGAACTTTCTTTCTCATTTGTAGCCATTGGTAGTCTGAGTTGTAACCCTCCATTTATTAATTTCAGGAATTTAAGGCTTCAAATGCAAGATTGTCGACAATGGGTCCAAAGCAGATTAAAAGAAAGAGGAGCTAAACCTTTTGAATTTGTTATGACTGTTCCTTGTTATGATCCGTCTAGATCTGTCTCCAACAGTCCACTTGCTGGTAATTCAAATAATATTTTCATTTGGGTTATTATATCTAAGTAAAAAAAAAAAAAATGGATATCTATCACCCCTTGCATAGTTGTGGATAGTTGTTGGCGATTATATTTGGATGATATGTCGGTTTCCCGCCAAGTATAAGTTGTTGCCGAATGATGCATAGCTAATGAACTTGGATCTTTTGTGTTCTATGTCTTGTTCACTCTGTTGAATTGCTTGTGGTATCACAGGGTGTAACAGAAATCCTCAGACTGAATCTTTGCTGAAGTTTCTTGAACTCCCTTATCTTCTCGATGACATATCAGAATCTGGACCATCAGGTTCATCTATTCCTTTCTCAGATAGTGGTAAACTATTTATCTTATGCTCTGGATTATTTCCTGCTCAAGAACTTCTTAGAATAAGTCGTTCCGTTAATGATGAACTGAAACATCGTAGGTCCATCTAACCTTGGGTCGAATTGATTGAAACTAAGTACTCTCAAATTTAATTTTACTGGGACACTATTTTTTGTTAGACTTCTCTAAGGTCTTAGTAGTTAGTACTCGCACAGAATCTGGTGTATTGTATTGGTGCACGTGTCGTAGATTTACATTTTCTGAATAGCCGATTATTCAAAGCCTCGTAATTTTACGTTCTCTGTAATATTTACAGATTTAGGTTCGTTCGTCAACAGTGAAGACATTCAAATTGATGACATAGATGATGGGGATGAAGAAAGTGCAGAACCTGAAGATGCATAAACCCCTTCATTTTGGCAATGGCCACCAAGATCCTCCACAGTGAATGAAGGTTGACCACTTGAGCTTTATGCTATACTTGTATTGGAATGGGCATATTCCAATGTTCATGTGAATGGATTGATCCTTCCATTACAAGACTCTTCTTGGAACACTTTTTATTGGCTCAGAGAGAGAGAGAGAGATTGTAAAGTGACTTTTTAAAGGGTCATGCATTCTAGAGAAATTCCACTGTCAATAATTTATGCTCTTTTGCTTTAAAAATTCCCCTCAAAATTAATTGTATCTGCTAAGCTTGTGATCTTCATTGATTTATCCTTAGAACTTGATCTTGACTGGATTATCACAAATGGGGTTGAGCAAAGATGCAGTGAAGTCCTTTCTGCATATGGGGACCGTTTCGTTTTTTTGTAGGTTGGTCCGATCTATTTCTCTTTCCTTGTGCTTATTTTGCCGTAGGAGGTTGGTTTACAGCTACAACCTTTGTAACTTCATGGTATACCCGTGTATTGGCAAGTTCCTATCCTTCAATTGAGACAGAACAGATTCATGTCTTGGGCTATCGGGGTGTCTAGAAAAAGCCAAAACCTTGATGATAGAAGAAAGGTCATTCGCACGTTATTGAAATCCCACATTAGCTAATTTAGGGAATGATCATAAGTTTATAAGTAATAAATCTTCATTGGTATGAGGTCTTTTGGAGAAGCTCACGAGAGCTTATACTCAAAGTGGATAATATCATATTATTGTGGAGAGTCGTGATGCTTAACACATGTGACAACTTGTGAGGCTGTGGCCGGACAAGCGTTTTTCGGGAGCAGGGAAGAACGAACGCATAGCTTATAATGTGGTTTCAATTTTCAAACACAACAAAAGCTTTGTTATTTGGTGCCATGGAGGTTGCTGTGAAAAGGGCAAGTGTAAGTTGGTTGGTTCAACTTGAATTTTGGTCGAAATTGTCTGTCTGCTTTGAAATATTGAGCCAATTGGGTCAGTTTGTTTGAGAAATTCATCTTTCCAATCAAGATTTCAAAGCAGCCTAGAAAATTGAAAATGTGCATAATGTTAATAATCAGAACTACATTATTGTAATCTCTGTTTCACTATCTCTAATATTCATGTTTCTTTGTGAACTGTGAGAGATCAACTTCTAATAAAATAAAACATGAAAAGAATAATTTCATATCTATTTGGTTACACAGGTCTGGTCTTGAAGTTGCCATTTTAAAGATAAAACAATCTTGTCAATTTATGCATAGTTGGAGATAGAATATATATCTCGATCTAGAAATTAGAAGTTCCTCGAAGAGAAGGAAAATCCAGAACATCATTATAATATCAAATCATTCCCAAACAAAAAATCGAGATGAAATTAAACAGCCAGAAAATTTCCCAAGAAAATTCTTTATTGAATAGTAAAATTACAGGTGAGTGTGTGTAATTGGCCGTATCGTGGTAGGCCCAGAACATAATGTTCCACTCAACAACCCCATTCTAGAAACAGCCAGCCGACGAGAAACCGCCGCTGTCGCCGTCGCCGACGCCGTCCCCACCACCATTGACGACACCCAATTTCTTAGTTAACAGCTCATTTGTAATTAACATAGATTCATATTTCAACATCAGATGAAAGTAATTCCACCGCCCATCTATAGTAGGATTATAGTCGAGTAGACTCAATTATGGACTAAAACCCTGTGCAGTGCGATCTTTGAAAGAAAAATAATTCCGACTCAATTTCATGGGAATTTCAATTAGGAAATAATCTCGAGCATTTTCTTATCTGTCTACCGATTATTATCTACAATCAGGAATTCCGAGAATCGCTTCTAATCCAACTATGAACTATCATTTTGAGGCAGAAAGAAAAATTGCTCTATGAACTGAAAAAACTCAGAGATTTTACCGCTTATCGAATCGAATCAGTTATCGTCGTCGCCAGGTTTGTGATGATTCACCTTCGCACATGATAATCCACGCGCCACCGTCGGCGCGTCCACTACAGTTGCCGATGACATCTCCATCTGGCAAATCCGGACGGCGCCGAACAGCCTCTCCGGCAACTCCTCCTCCGTCTGTCCCTCCACCAGAAATCCCATATCTACTGTTACGTTGGTGACGTATCGAAGCGCGAGATGCAAAATCGCATTGGCTATGGTCGAACTCCCCATATCTACGTCAATCTCCAAATAGTTAGGTCCTCTGTGGTAATTGCACGTCAATGCCTTTCCTAACAAACACGCACTGTAATTTCCTACCGCTTTCTTGACGATCCACGGTCCTTTCACGATCCGATTCACCAATTTCAACCGTTGATTTCTGAACGAATCATCGCCATTGATAAATCGGTGAAGAATCGAGCCAGCAGGAATCGGATCCTCAGTAGCAAAGTAGAACACGGCACTGTAATGATCCTTCCCAGGGACTTGAAGGTTAACAGCAATAATGAAGCTCTTCAACGACTTATCTAAGCCTTGCGCTCTCTTCAACGCCTGAGCAACGCGATTGTCAGGACGACCGAGGACGTTGTCGAGCTTTGAACTCGATTTCAGCCAATCAACACCGGCAGGAGAAAGCAGATAATCACCAGACGGAGATTTCTGCCGTTTCGTTAAGTAGTTCTTAGAACGGAGAAAGAACAAATCGCCAGGCGGCGAGGCCCAGCCATTTATCCCGGTGTGAAGATCGACAGGGCGTAAGGATCCGCCGTTGATCGTCTCGGAAATCCAATCGACCGTAGTCGTGGATTCGCCGTGTTCCGAGCACCTTCCGCCAGGTTCTCCGATTAAGCTCCGGTGATTTTGGTTTTGCTTTGTGGGGCACATGGCTTCCACCAGACTTCTCTTCTCTTTCTTCTGCTAAATATTTTCTCTCTCTAAACTGACTGCTTCTTCTTCCTCCTTTTATCTCTGGAAGTGAGGACCGGAAGTAAAAGTTTATCAACCAACTACGGCTAATCTAAGCCCCTTCTTTTTCACTTAATTACGTGATTGCCATTGATGGCTCCACTCTTTTTTTTTTTTTTTTTTCTTTTTCATTTTCATTATTATTTATTCGACGTGTTGAGTATTATTTTATTTGTCGTCATCATCCCAATTAAATATCTTTATTTATCATTATCGTTTTATTCTAATGGAATTTATTTATTTTTTAAAATTAAAAAAAACCCGATTTCTATCCGGAATCGCTAGTAATCGTTAGTCAGCTATACGACCACAATTTTCAAAATCAATCAAAATATATATATATATACACGATCATTTTATATAAGGCAAGAAAATATTATTTTAATACAACAACTATAAAATATGAGAATTTGAACCTCGAACAAACTATTATGGTAGGAGGGAACAAAGTCGAGCTAGCCTACCTAACCTAAAGATACCATAATTTTGGCATATTTCTTTAATTTCAAGGATGGAAAGATATTAATTTTCATACGTAGGTATCAAAGTAAAATATTAACTAAAAGGAACGGCCAATTTGTTCGTAATGAATAAGATGTCTATTTATGAACTCGACATGAATAAGATGAAAAAATGCTCATTTAAACGAAGAACGAGGGAGTAAGTGAGAAGATATTTCTTTCCATTAGCTGAACAGAAGTAAAGATGAGAATTATCTTCTCCGTCCCCGTCCCAAATCTTTGGCTTACCCTACATAGACATTAAACATCATATTCAAGTTCTTAGAAATTATCTTGTGAGATCTCACATCGGTTAGGGAGCGAACGAAACATTTATTATAAGGGTGTAGAAATCTCCCATTATTAACCGACATCATCTAAAACGTTACATTATGCAAACATTATATTTTTACTTATAAAATATTATTAAATTTATTATGATATTTTAATTGTTGTAACAGAAATTATAAGAAGCGGGGATAAAAAAATTCTTCCTCGTACCCACATCACCTCGTAAACGTTTCTCGAGTAAATACACATTTATTTATAATTTAAAAGACTTAATTTATAGTACATTGACATGTTTCCTTAAAATGAGTGCATGAAAAATTAATATTTATGATGGTTTGTCTAATTAATAAATAAATAAATAAATAAAATTGGGGATTAATAAAATGTAAATATTGAACTATAACCAGTTGACTTAACCAAATAAAAATCGGATGACATAATCGTGTGAAAGGACGAAAATGCCCACTTTATGAGTTGGTGCGGGCCCCACTTCATATTTATTGTTTTTATTTTTTTTTTAATTGTTTCTAGAAAAAAAGGCATACGCGATGGATGGCATTGGTTGTAAATTCGATAAATTGATGGGGGTATATTCGGAAGTTGAGCCGATAATTTTGACGGACGACCGACCTCGACATTAACGACGGTGATAGAGACACGTGGGAGGGAAAAATAAAAAAAAGTTTAATTTCTACGCTTAAAATATATATATTTATAAATAAATCATCAAACTGTTATCATTTTTGGCATGATGCAATTTAAAACTGTCAGGGCAGTGTTATTTATGGAAAATATTTTTATATTAATATTTTGAAAAATATATTATGGTATCTATACTTTATTTTTACTCCTCTTTAATATTTGTTTTTTTCTAAATTTATTTTTTAATATCAATAAATGATCATAGCGGTATGATTACACGAGTGACCTAAGACCACATTCAAATAAGAGAAGTCCTGATAATAAGATAACTAAGTAAGATTAAAAAATTGAAAGCTACTGCACATACCAACAAGGTACACTTCCTTTTCGGTAGCTCAATTAAACATGTTTTACTCCGTAATCTTTAGTCAATTTTTTTATTAAAAAAAAGTGAATAATAAAACATAAAATTGGCCATTTTACCATTTATGGGATATGTTGTTAATAAATTCATTTATCATGGTCAAACATTGAGAATAGCAAAAGGCATGCATTTTTTATTTTTCATTGTCAAACACAAAATAATAATAATTATATATAAAACACAATTTCTCTTTTATTAAGATTAAAAAAAAATGTTTATTAAGCATATGGGGGAATGGTTTGACTTGTTACATTGAATTTTGTAGCTCAAAATTGAAAATGGAGCTTATATTTAATATTCTGTTCGATTTGGTTCTACCAAACTTGTATCTTAAGCTCGAGGGCAAATCGGGTTGGGAATGAGTTACCTAATCCTAATCGTAACCCTAACCTAAATAATTGCAACTTACCCCTCAAGAGTTAATAAAAAAAATAAAAAATAAAAAAAATAAAAAAAAAAAAAACTAAACTTTTTAATTTTTTTTTTTTCATATAAGATTTAAACATAGCTTAATTGTCTTATTATTGTGGAGAATCGTATCTATCTAACATGGAATTGTCAATAGATTGGTAAATCCTCAAATGCCAAACAAAGGACTCCAAAAGAAAAAGAGTCGAGCCTCCTCGAAGGCAGTCAAAAAATGACTAAGACTCCAAAATGAGTTGAGCCTGTACTTTGTTCGAGGGGAGGTGTTAGATAATGAAAACTCCACATCATCAGCTAATTTAAGGAATGATCATAGATTCGATTTATAATCAAATAATATTATCTCCATTAGTTTCAGGCATTTTGAGGAATCCCAAAGCAAAATCATGAGAGATTATGCACAAAGTGAACAATATCATAACATTGTTAAAATTTAGACCCTAATATTCATCTACATCCATTGCAATACCGTCATGTTTGGAAGAGTTTCTAAAAGTAAAAACTATCCATACAAACCAACCTAAATCATTAAAAAAAAAAAAAAAAAAAAAAAAAAAAAAAAAAAAAAAAAAAAAAAAAAAAAAAAAAAAAAAAAAAAAAAAAAAANAAAAAAAAAAAAAAAAAAAAAAAAAAAAAAAAAAAAAAAAAAAGAAAAAAACTAAATGACAAAATTGATGCGTACTAAACTAAATTTCATAGATATTTAGAAATTAATGATATTTTTTTTATTCCAACACACATTATTATTGTTTGTTTTTTCCCTTGATAAAGTTGATCAGAGTCAAAGGCGCAACTTTTCCTGATCTTCCAGGGGAAGCCAGGCTTTCATTCAGACAAAAGTCGAGGACAGAATGAAGAAAAAAGTAACCAAATTGTATGGAATAGTATGTTTCAAAACCTACTTTTTAACCCATTTTCCTTTCTATTTGGTTTCATAGTATTTCTTTGTAAATAAAAAATAATAATTTAACCTAACCCGTAAAGATATTATATCTTCAATTAAGAGGTTAGAAGTTTAAGTCTCAACCCACATTTAAAATGAACGGGTTCAAACTTTTGAACTCTTTGTCCACGGAATATATCAATACCTGGTAATGAGAGATTCTATTGACATTCTAGTTTGATCATTACCAGGTATTGACAATAGAGAATTGTAAAAGCCTCGACTTAATACTTCTTTAGATTCAATCGGTTTTGCTTACGATTAAACCTCCGAACCCGGCCGAGTCGAACTGATTACACATTGATATAAATATGTGATGAAACTAATATCAATCTATCTTTAGAGTTGATACTACGAGGAAGCAACCAGCCCCGGGTGAAATCCTCCCATTTTCTCAGAATTAGATTGGTAAAATCAAACGAGTAAAGAAAACACAAGAGCAGCAGAAAGTTTCCTCTGTTTTCAAAAAGAAACTAGCATATGGTTTCCTCATACTACAGGAATAAAACTTCTTCTGAAACACTCAGGATTTCATAGCTAAAGAAAAAGAAATTTACCGCAGTAATGTACTAATACGTTCGTCCTTCGACATGGTAAATGCCAATGGTGAAAAAAACATCTATTGAGGTCATAAGTCCTGGGATCTGCCTTATCTGGAAAAGCAGGATTACAACAGAAAATTGCGAAATGAGTAAGTGATTATACAGATAGCTTGGACAAACACAATTATGCCACAGCATTGCAAAAAGTAGAGCTATATTAGATTTTGCTTGAACAGACTGCTAGAATCCCTTTGAAAGAAAGAACCTAATCCACAATTCGATAGAGCGAATTTCTTAACACATATTGCTTCTACTGATGCAAATAAAAAGTGAGAAAATTAGCACAAAATGTTAAATAACGTCATATGTAAATACAGTTCTTCTAGCAGTTAGAGATGAACTTTATATATAATGGAGAAAGCAATATGCTTTTTGCTACCATACAGAGAGTCTCATTTACAACAAGAGAACAAAAGACAGCAGCTAGCTGAAGGGATGATATTCTTTTGCTATTCAACAGAAAACAAGAGGACAGGAAGCAAATTACATATTTTCCATGATGATTATGTCATTGAATTCATTGCTGGACATGAACTAAATCAATTTGATGATTAAATAACAACAAAAAAGAAGATTTACTAACTAATCACTACAAATATATGTTTAAGCATTTGATGAGTTTGTTTGAGATGGCTCATTCATTATCAAGAGAAAAAGAGCTGGAAAACAATAACATATCCAAAACCAAAACCCTACCAAAGCGAAAAGAAGATGACAAAATGGGAATCATGACAGCCAAGATGAGTACCCATATGAAGGAACACACCATGGCTGACGTTAGGTGTGTGTAAATGCCTTCCTCCAAAAACAAAATTGCACATATACATATATAGACGTACACACATATTTATAACATCCATGAGTGTTTGGATCGGCTTGCACACGCCCCTGTTACAACCATTTGATCCTAAGATAATAAATATTATTTTAAGTTCGTGATCACCTTGACTTAAACTCATTTTCTCTATGCTCTTTATTAATTACACGACTCTTATTGACCACTAAGTCAATCCAAGATGGTTTGAATCCCAACAATAATTTGGGCCGAAAGGTATGGAGGACAAGATCTATCAATTATACTCGTGAATATAAAGCTCTAATATTCACTTAACAGATATATCAAAAATAATAACACTATCGTTTTTACCTGGGATACTACATATGTAAATCTAAGACTCATAATTATATTCACTTAACAGATATATCAAAGATAATAACGCTGACGTTTTTACCTGGGATACTACATATGTAAATCTAATTATATTCACTTAACAGATATATCAAAGATAATAACACTGACGTTTTTACCTGGGATACTACATATGTAAATCTAAGACTCATATATCTTAAGGAAATATCAAACCTATAATAAATCAAATTCAAATTACTATTCCATCAAGCCTCAATTGGTGTTGGTCTGAAAATTAACCATAGCAAATTTTTTAGGCTTCATGCAAATGAGATTATTTTGTAAGAACTTTCTATTTATATTTAGTATTAAGAAGGAACTCCAAATCTACCTCTTTCATAGAGTATCTTGAATAATCACTTTCTTCATTACTAGATTTTTTGCTGAAAACATAATTTCATTCATTCAGTGCACCACTACTTAAACTAATATTTGTTAAATAATGTCACAAAAGACTCATTTGATTGACACCGTAAGTGATCTTGATCCAGAACAACTCAAAATCTAACAAAACAGCATATTGATCTGTTGATCTGAAATTTACATTGAGAACTCTTGACTAATAGAACTCAGATAGACTCTGCCGACTATACAAAAGTAGTTAACCACTTGTTTTGAGTTCAACAATAACTGGGGCAAAGAATTCGAACCTCTGATTTCTTTGGTTGATGACTCCTACTTCATGTCAATTGAGTTGAGCTAAGCTTGGTTAGGAAAAAGTAGCACTAATTCAGGTAAAATTTGACTAGCTACAAAAGTTTGTCACTATTAACGAACTGTGGTAGGAGACAAGTTAATGGATCTCTTAGTCCACAAGAAGCTGCTGCAACTCATTCTCCGTGGCACAAGGAAGCTACTCTTAGTGAGAAATTGAGCAAGATATTTGTTCCCAAATGTTTTTTTCTTTTTCTTAAAGAAATTCAATAGAAAAATTGTAGATTTTAAATCTCGTAAAACAGACTCTTCAACAATACATTTCAGAATAAAGTGTATTCAACAATGGATTTCAGAATAAAATGCTTTCACTCACTTCTTGACCTGGTGATTCTTCACCTATCATAATGGAAACATGCTTTCAATCGTCAACTTAAGACCTACATTAACTAAATGAGTTTGGATAAGTCCTATAAAAGCCATGTTTGTTCATATAATTCGTATAAATCAGCTTTTCAAAACGAAAACCAAACAAGATCCTTCAAATTTCAATAATTGAATAACCATACAAATCAAATCAAAATTGATTTGTAAAAAACATTTCCACATTCTTATGATACCAAACAAAGATTCTGAGAGTACACACCGACAGATACTTACAGAGAAACATTGTTATGTGGCTCTTTTTGGCCGCCTCCACAACATCAGTCACACAACAATTAACAAATTAGGGTTTCCCTTAAGTTTCTTTCAGGAACGAATCATACAGTAATCAGTGAGTCTTCGTCCTGGGAGGTTGTTTTTGAGTCGCTAACCTATAAATCCAATACACCTACAAATATTGCAAGGAAGTGAGAAAACACGAGACTTGAGTTTGAACACAATTTCAAGATCGAAGAGATCGGAGTCAGGGAATTAATACCAAAGCGAAGACGTGAGCTGCTATGAGAAGAACAATAACTAAGGGTATCGCTTCGAGGAACCAGGGCCCTATCGATGACCGTTGCTCGTTCGCCATTTTCGCCGGAGAAAGATCGGTGAGGAGTCCGAAGGAATGAACAATATAAAACCGAAATCGAGGATTTTACAAACTTACCTCCGTCGAACTTGCGCGCAGAGCGCTTAAATATCCTTTCCCTTTGAATATTTTGATCTTTAAAATGTTTATTTTAGTTTCATTATGTTCATTTTAATTCTTATATTTTAAAAAATACTTTTGGATATTCCGAAGTCCATGACTTCAACATGGGAGTCACGCTTGTTCTAAGCTCCTTTTACTTGCTTTCGATCATTTTCTAAATTAGCTGATGTGGAACTTTCATCATCAACACCTCCCCTCGAACAAAGTTCTAAACTCCTTCTACTTGCTTTCGATCATTCCCTAAATTAGCCGACGTGAGACTTTTATCATCTAACACCTCCCCTCGAATAAAGTACACCTCCCCTTAATCGAGACTCGACTTCTTTTTCTTTTGGAGTCCTGTGTTCGACATCTGAGAATTTACCAATCTATTGACACGACTAAGTTTATGGCATGACTCTGATACTATGTTAGACGAATACGATTCTCCACAATGGTATGATTGTTCACTTTGAGCATAAGCTCTCATGAATTTACTTATAAACTCATGATCATTCTCTCAATTAGATGGGGACGTATCATCCAAAAGTGACTAATAGTTATTGTGGTTACTTACTTGTTTTCAGCCTATAACGCTGACTCTTACAAATTGTTTTCAACACATTTTCTCTCTCTCGTTTTCTAAATACACTTGATCATAAACATGAATCGAATCTCGATCATACGTCTGAATTGTCCTCGAATTACGATTTTTACACAGCTGATTTGCTCGCCATGATATAACAAGTGTTGCACAATCGTTGAACCCCGAAAAACTCGACCATATGACCGAATTATCCTCATATTACGATTTTCACGACTTATTCACCTTGTTAGAATAAGTGGTGCACAATTGTCGAACCTCAAAGCTCGACAATCCGCTCGAATTGTTTTCGACACCATGTTAGCACACAATTGCTAAACCCTGAAGCTCGACCATACATCTGAATTATCTTCGAATTAGGATTTTTACACGATTGACTGTTATTATTTTATTAGATAGCAATTTCTTCGAAGAGGGTGAAATCCAAAAACCAGCGGCAGGTATTTGGTGTTTGCAGGAGGGCGCCAAGTAGACCCAAAACGTGGCGTCTTCTCGTTTCCTCAGGCACACCACCCAGCCCCTTTCACTTCCTTCTTCGCCCACAACTCTCTGCAGGTTTTTCTTTCAGATTCCTTCATTCTTTCGAGCAATTGGTGGAACAAGATGCATATCTGATGGATTCTCCAGTTTCTTCTTGCATTTCTTGTTCTTTATAGTCATTAGCCGATGAGGAATGTCGTCGCGCGCCTCAACCGCCACCGCTTGGCCACTCCGGCCTATCGAAGTACTTTCTTGTTTATCTTCACCACTTTTACTTGCATTTTGTGATTCTTTTTGTTGCTGCGATGTCTGCCTGGTGAGTGATTTTTAGATGTATGGAAGTGAGAAATCACTAGAAAACTCTACTGGAGAACATTATTGGTTATCGATGACATTCGGATCTTTCTTCGTTTCTTTTCCTTCTACTGTTAATCGCGTTATAATTATCTTTATCGGCAGTTGATACTTTTCTTGATTTGATTGTATTCCATTGGTTTACTTTAATTTGATTTTCGGCAACATTTTGTCCTCCAACTTGTACCTATCTGGTAAAGAACAACTTAGCTAATTGAGGATAAATTTCGACGAGCTCAAATATTCTTGAACTATAGTACTACCGTCTTCACACCACCACCAAACGAGCAAAATCCGTACATTATGATGCGTGAGATGTGAATTAGGACCTGGTATCAAAATTGTTCGCATTCGATCCTTGAATCAATCACTGAAATGAAAATAGGGGACCAAGCTGCATGCTAGGATATAACTATTTTACACTTCAATTACAATTTATAAATTCTGCTTCCTTTGCAGATGTATGCCCTGACAATGATTTTGGAAAAAGCATATCATTGGGGTATTTGCAGGACATTTATGCTCCGAGGAGACGAAATGTTTCTCTGTTGATAAACTTATTTCATCAAAACTCGTGAGTGGACCGGATTATTTTCAGTTTTTGAAGGGATTGATTTCAGTTTTTACCACGTTTTATTTTTGCTTAACATTTCTCTGTTTGCAATAGGCATTTACTTAGATATTGTGATGCAGATTTTCTACAGGCTATTCAAGTGTACATGGTGAAAGGCCATCTGCAGAGTATGCGAAGTTGAGGAAGCAATTGCTGGAAAAGGAATTTGGGCATGCACTTGGAACTTACAGATCCAAAAGACTCTCCTCCATCTATCATTTTGGTCCATTTTTGGCCTTCTATAGAGCAGCAATTATTTCATTCCATGTGTTCAACCTAACCATATGGCAGTTCTTTGTTCGTGACTTAAAAAAACGAGCTATTAAGGTATTATCTTACACATTTATTCAAAGGTTTTCATCTGTGAATTATCTTTTAGTGCATAGATAAAATGTGGTGAATGAAGCTTCGTTGGTCTAAATATTATGCGTACCATTCCCTCAATATTGTTTGTATTTAAAAAATGTGTATGTTTTTGTTCCATTTGCTTTTTTGTTAATTATCGCAAAGAAAGAAAGCATTATAGAGCATGATTTCAATGATTTAACTTAAGTTTTATATTTTGTTTCCTGCAGTTTCGAGAAACTCTAATTAGATTGGGGCCTTTCTATGTCAAGGCAAGCCCTCTCTCTCTCTCTCTTTTTTTTTTTTTGTGTGTGTGTGTGTAAATTTTTAAATGTCCGTCCAACCTCAAACTTCTGGAATTGTGCATTTTCTTTAATCTGCTTCAAAGCATCAGTAACTATGTGAAATGAGGCCGCAAAAGGTTTTATCAATGTTTATCTGTTGCTTTTATTAATAATATAATAACTTAATGTTGCTTGAATTACAGCTTGGTCAGGCTTTGAGCACGAGACCAGATATATTGCCAACAGTTTATTGCCAAGAACTTGCAAGGTTACAGGTATGCAAGCTTTTCTTAATTCTCAATTTGATGTGGCCGGCCAGATACTATATGCATTATAAATAATCTTTAGCGATGATTTTCTTCCCAACTACTTCAAACAATTCTGATAGTTTGAACTTTCTTTTTTCAAGGATGAAATACCTCCATTTCCGACTCATAAAGCAATCAAATCTATTGAGAACCAGTTGGGATGTCCTGTTTCACAAATTTTTGCCGATATTAGCTCAGAGCCCATTGCAGCTGCATCCTTAGGGCAGGTTTATAAGGGTAAGTGGTATCCATTTTTTTTATCTTTTGTTTGAAAATTTTCAAACCATTTCTTCACATTCATCTGCGAAATGGATTTTCAAATATTGATGTTAAAGTTTTGATGTAAGCTAAAGTTAAATAACCATTTTTTCTGCTTCAAGTCTTGCAGCTCACCTGCATTCTGGAGAGCTTGTAGCAGTCAAGGTACAAAGGCCTGGCATGTCTCTTTCATTGACTCTTGATGCCTTGTTGTTCCAGATGATTGGTGGTCAACTAAAACGATTTGCAAAGGCTCGAAAAGATTTATTAGTAGCTGTTAATGAAATGGTGAGCGTTTGCTTTTTTTTTTTTAAAAAAAAAGAAACTGATTTTCTTTTCCATTTGTGGCCTATAGAGAACTGAAAATTGTGAAATGGCCAAGTTAAACATGTCTAGTTTATTATTTTCTTTTCCATTTTCCGACACGGCGGGGATACGCTGAGACATGGCTAGGAACTCACAAAGACATGGCTAAGACACATGTTAAGGTTTTCCAAGTTTTATGTCTTTAAGGCCATTTAAAAGAAAATCCAATACCCAAAATTAAAGCCAACCCACTACGCATATAAACCTCAAAAGCCAACCCAGTAGCTCATTTAAAAGGGATTTCCTTTCCCCGTTCTGTGGATACCTTAGTTCTGAATATTGTCTGATAATTATGCTTAATCATACATTTTAATTTTATGGTATTGGGAGTTTGACAACATTTTTCTTGATTCATGTTTGACATTGCCGGTCAAGATGCATTTTAAGATTTATATGCTTTGTTTTTTTGTTTTGGCCTATGAAACCCTCAAGCAATTGTCTCTAGGTTAACTATTCAGGTCTTCTTGCATGGTCTGTACTGCCCTTTACTTTATAATAACATAGAGAGGTGTTGAGTTCTCTAAAAGATTTGGGATGTGCTTCCCTTGTCTTCCCCTTGTGTGTGTCTCTCTCTTTATTTGTTTATTTATTAATTAGACTGTCAATTGCCTTGCTTGTTGTCACATTCAGAGCTTTCCTTAAATGAACAGGTCAGACACATGTTTGACGAAATCGATTATGTTCAAGAAGGGAAAAATGCTGAGCGTTTTTTTTCTCTCTATGGATGTCAACCATGTAAGTGCTAAGGTATTTTTATAATGTTCTGAGAATACTACTACCTCCATAGATTGAAGCCAATATCCAATAGGCACTCAATGTCCGACTAAAAAATTTCTCCTAGCTCTGGGAGCTTCTCAATTTTTGAGTGTCTTCTTTTGCCGAACCATTTGAAATCTGATAACTGACTAGCCTTTGTATGATTTTCTTGATAACAATTAAGTAGGCGATGGTGAGAAGAGGTCTGCAGTCAATGGCACTCTTAAATATAAGAAATCAAGCGGTGTTAAAGTCCCCAAAATATTTTGGGACTATACTAGGACGGCTGTGCTTACAATGGAATGGATTGATGGAATAAAGCTTACTGATGAAATTGGGTTGCAAAAGGCCCATTTGAATAGAAGGGAGCTCATTGACCTGGTATTATATAGAAATTGTTCTATTATTTCTTGTTACTCTTCCCAAGCTTTTTTGTCGTCTTTATTATTAATATAGGATGGGTTTTTTTTAGGGGGAAAAACACTTTTGTCCTTGACGGGCAGCTGTGTCCATTTTCTATTGCTCTGCGTGTATTGCTTGTACATAGTCCATTTCTTGAAGTAGGCTATTTATCATAAAATCAAACATGTCATATTTTATCAATATTCTTCTTTTGACCTCAATAGGGACTGTATTGCTCTTTGCGGCAATTGCTTGAGGTGGGGTTTTTTCATGCTGATCCACATCCAGGAAACCTTGTTGCTTCCGAGAATGGCTCTCTTGCATATTTTGATTTTGGGATGATGGGTGATATTCCTCGGCATTACCGTGTTGGACTGATTCAAGTGGTATGAAAATGTTATAACTAAAATAAATTGATAGCATCTAACCACTGGTTTTTTTCAAGAAGTATTTGGTAGAACGTTATGCAATTTTGACATGTCATGCACAATCTTCTGTTTATCTACCATGGCTTGACTAGATATATTACATGCAGGTTGAGATTTTTATCGTCTAGTTTTTTTTATAATCATTTAAGACATATGGTTCAGGTGGAAAAAATAATATTTCCTTGAATCAGGCCTCATGCACAACCCCCCCCCCCCCCAAAAAAAAAAAAAAAAAAAAAAAAAAAAAAAAAAAAAAAAAAAAAAAAANCCATTTCTTGCCCCCCCCCCAAAAAAAAAAAAAAAAAAAAAGAAAAGGAAGAATAAGAAAAGAGCGACCGCGAACATGTGAGAAAAAAAGGTTGAAAGACCGAGAGATACTAGCAGGATATTTCCGGGACTTGAATTTAATAATTCTCCTATTGCTTTAAACTTGTAACTCATTTTTACAAACTCAGAAGGTCTTTTCCATATTCTATAATCTACAAATATTGGTCCAAACATTCTGTATTGACATAATCTACAAATATTGGTTCAAACATTCAGTTTTCTCTTGTATCATTTTGACTGTTAGTTTCCAGCATTCATTTGCTATGTTATGTTGGTAGGAATATATCTGAGAGCCAGTTAAATATTATTTTCTTTCAGCTGGTGCACTTTGTTAACCGTGACTCGCTTGGGTTGGCCAATGATTTTCTTTCTTTGGGATTCATTCCTGAAGGCATTGATGTCCGATTAGTTTCTGATGCCCTAAACACATCATTTGGCGATGGAAAAAAACAGTCCCTGGATTTTCAGGTTCATTTCTTTAGTTTCTGAATTTTAATTTGCATTTACTGTCTAAAAAAAATCCTTACACATTGCCCACAATGTTGAAAGCTGAATGCTCTTATGAGTCCAAATTGACATGGATTTCAGGGCGTAATGAACCAGCTATACAGTGTGATGTATGAATTTAATTTTTCCCTCCCTCCGGACTATGCCTTGGTCATAAGAGCTCTAGGGTCACTGGAAGGCACTGCCAAAGTCCTGGATCCTGAATTCAAGGTCTTAGAAAGTGCATATCCTTTTGTCATTGGGAGGCTTTTGGAAGATCCAAACCCTGATATGAGAAAAATTTTAAGGGAACTCCTCATCCGAAATGATGGATCCATTAGGTGGAATCGGCTCGAGCGCTTGGTAAGTTTTTCCTCTTACCTCTATCATGTAGCAAGTACCTTGTCTTCGCGAAAGAAAGAATGTCTTATTAGCAATATCGCAAGGAGATGTACATAGCTTTAAATATTTGGCTGTATGCTCTGTTTGCATTATGCATATTTCGATTATATCTGAACTACGTCTAAGAAGTTTGTTGGGTATTCTTTTCCATATCTTAACCATTAAAATAAAAATCTTGTTACAGGTTGCAGCCATTTCTGAACAGGCTGCCAAGTCGAGTGAGGAATCCTCCAAGGATAGTTCTTCAAATCCTCTAGGATGGAAATCATTTGACATGGAAGCTGTTGTCTCAGCAACTGAGGATCTTTTTCTATTCATTCTCTCCAAGAAGGGTTCAAGGGTACGTGTTTTCCTTATTCGGGACATCATCGGAGCAGTTGACATCGTTCTGCAAGATGAAGTTTTAGGGTGCTCATCGGATAAGAAGTATCAAACAAGATCTGAGGTTTGTTCAACTCATCTTTACATAATTTCTTCAAATAATAGCTTTTCAAATAAGAGCATTCTTGAAGTTTTTGGAGTGATGGCCAATGTGGTGTATTGTGTTTACAGGATGATGCTATGCTGGAAAGAGTTGTTCACGGGTTTCAGTGTCTCCGTGATGCAATAAAGTTAGCACCACGAGTGTGGACGGCTATGCTTTTTCGCATGGCATTAAAGCGGGAGGTTCACAGCTTCTCTCTGGACGTCATTTCAAGCATTATGATGCATATTGGAAAAAAATCCCCTGACCGTCTTTGGATCCGTATTTCAAGATTCCTTCATGACTTAGAGAGAGACTACGGTTCTAACAAAGCATGAGGAAAGTAAACTACTTCTCTCTCTTTTAAACAATTATCTCTTTTATAGATCACGATTTTTTTTTTTTACATTTTTTAAAGAAATTAATGAGAATCAGCTAGTTTAGCTCTGAAGGATCATTGCAGAATCTGTAGTTTACATCTTACATAGGTTGGAGACTTCCTTTTATTTGAATTTTTGAGGAAAATTTTCAATTCATTAGATTTAATTAGTTGAACAATGAATCCTAAAATGTACAAAATATTTTTTTAGGCTTAGAATTTGTCCCTTGTTTAAAAATTATCCATATTTCTTTATATACAAATTCGTTATGTAGTGATTTTCTGAAACAGGTTTGATAATGATTAGGGTGATCTAAATAGCGAACCGACTTTTCTTTCCACATTTAAACTATTTTATGGAATGTTAAAAAAGCTATTATTGCTTTTCTTGAAATTAGAATGGTATTATTGATCTAGCATGCCCCACACCTTTTGGAGCCATACCCGGAACGTGTGTGCCCATGTGCGATACATTGTGCTCTGGTTTTTGTAGTGACATTGGGTCTCTCAGTCTCAACCATGCTGGCATTTGCCATATTTTTGGAGTAGTCCCATGAAAAGTGTGACAATAAATAGGGTTTGGTTTAATTTTGTGTTGGATTAGTTCACATGTCTTGATTGAACTGTTCGATTATGTTGATATTCTTCGTCTTTTTAAGCAACAGCAGATGGTGAAGTGAGTGGATAACCTTGGTAGACTTACAATATTTAGGACGACAAGATAGAACAAGAAGACAAAAACTACCAGATTAGAGAGAGAGAGAGAGAGAGAGAGAGAGAGAATGTACCATCCTTCCAGTGTAACTATTGACATGACATTTCATCTCCTTTATGAAAAAGTTGTAGCCAGTTATGCAATAATTGTAAGAGAAATTGACGAAGGCAACAATGAAAAGGGTGTCCGTATGCCTCCTCCAAATCAATCAGTCTTCTATGCAGCTCATCAGATGTTAAGGTGGATTCAAAATCCAAGTAGTCACGTTTGCTGCTCAAAGTTAATAGGTTGGTTGGAAAGGAGAGGAGAACAAAGTAAAGTTGGTTTGAAAGGGGAAGAACATAGTATTCTTTATATTCTTTATAAAAGTGTAAAAATCATTCCTCATTTAAAAACGGTGAGGTTAATGGTGAAACATATCAGGTAAAAGTAGACAACATCTGCTAATTGGGTTTTTACACATGGCGAGGAAGCTAGGCCCCTAAGAAAATGGATTGTGAGATCCTACATTAATGGGAGAGAGAAGAATTAAGCATTGCTTATATGGGTGTAGAAAATTCTTCCGAAGTGTTTTAAAATCATGATGTAACGATTAAAGTGAATAATATCTACTATTTCCGTTAAAATTAAATAAAATATCCAAACCAAAGACGAAGCTAATTCAGCTCACCAATAAAGTTTCATAAAATGATAGACAAAATCCCAATATCTAAAATTAAAAATTAAGGAAAATTGGGATTTCGAAAACCTTTTTGACCAAACTCCCATAGATTTTCTTTACACAAAAAGAAAAAAGAAAAAAAAAAAGAGCTGTACTTGATCCAACGGTCAGATTTCGTTGATCAACTGCCCCAGCTATTTTTCTTCCTTCCTATTTACACGAACTATTTTTTAATTAATTATTATTTTATTAAATATTCAAACTTAGAACGACGGAACGACGCCGTATCCACTCACTCGGTCGGCTTCCAACTCGATGTCCGTCCGTTTGGCGAACCGTCCCTTGATTCGTGGTCTCTTCTCGGCGTAGGCCTTACGAGATGCGTATCGAATCGTCTTCTCGAACTTTCTGTTCTTCCTCTTCTCTCTGTACCTCAACACTCTCGCCTCTCGATCTGCCGGCGAGATTTGCAGCGGTGGAACAGTCGATTCCGTCGACGGTTTCGTGTACGGATTCGATATCTCCGTTATCGTATTCCCCTCCGGAACGACTCCGACCTCGATCGACGAGGATGATACCTGAAAGTCATGAAGAATAGGTGAGAGGTGAGATTCATGTTGTGGTTACATCAATTCATCTTATAGGTGCCGGATTTTGATTTTTGATGAGAAACTAATTGGACGAGGAATTTGAGAACTGCGATGACTTACACTGTGACTGATTGACTGAGGATTGTAACTGTACGGGAACGATTTGGCGCACGGGAAGTCGATGCCGAAGCTACGATCGTTCACCGATGAGAGATCGACGCCTTTGCTCTGAACCGGAACGACTCCATCGGCGGCGGAGCTGTTATGCTCTCGCACTTCTAATTTCGGATCTACGCGGTCGTAATCCAGATCTAGGTAAGGATCCATTTCTAGAAACTCTAACTTCCCCGAGTTCAGATCTGTATTTTCGATTGGCTTAGGGTTAGGGTTTGGAAGAAGCCAGGAAGCAGCTTCGGCCTCTTCGGCGGCGTCGGTGTTGACATCAGAGAAATAACGATCATCTAGGAAGTTGATTGCAGCGGCAGGCTTAACGGCGAGAGAGTTGTCGGAGTTGGAAGAGTCGTAGAAAGGCGTGACAGGAACTCGCTCATGACGGCGAGCGAGGGGATTGGCAGAGTGGATATCGTGGTCGCAAGTGATGCAGAGAGCAGCAGCGTCGGCCTTGCAGGTAACATGTGCAGGAGCTTGCTCACAGACTTCACAAAGCCATACGCGCGCATGGCGGGAAGCAAGCTTGTTGGCTGCATGGACTTTGGAGTCGCAGCCAAGGCAAAGAAAGGCAGAGTCAGCTCGGCAGAAGAGAGTGGCAGCGGCCACCTTACAGGAATCACAAAGCTTCGAAGCCATACTTCAATGGCGGAAAACTGAAGAAAATGGTATGTAATCTCTCTCTCTCTCTCTCACAGCTCTATGCTATTCCTTTTGTTCATCATGCGCGTGAGAGTCTATCCTGTGGGACCAAGGAAATCAGCCATGGACGAATGGGAGAGAAACACGTGGGCGGGGCTTAGCCATAGAAACCAAAAGAATTTATCGCCTTGACTGAATGGGAAAATAAATAAATAAATACATAAATAATGGTAAAAAATACTTAATTTTCATTTAGTAACTAATTAATAAAACATTAACATAAACAACAAAAAGTGAATAATTGAAAGGCTTTTTCTAGGGACTTCTGTTGGGCCCAAACAACCGGCCCAAGCCTGGTTGTTCGTTGGTCATGGCCCATTTTTAATATAAAATGTTTGAACATGAACTTTAATTGTTGGGCTTCATTTTGTATGGGCTCAAGCCCACTTCTCACACTTAGCCCTTTTGAGAATTAGGTAGGTTTAAATATACTTTATTAATTTAATTTAAGATAATTCAAAATCGTTACTTTAGGGATAATAAAGAATAAGGTGATACGGCGTCGTTTCACCGTACGAACACTAGACTTTGACACGTGTCCCTCCTCCCCAACCCCCATATAATTTACAGGCATTTTCTTTGCTTTACTCTTTTTAATATTAATACCTTAAATAAAAAGGGAAAAAAAAAAAACGAAAAAAAGAAAAATACCCATTAATATCTAATTTCCTTATATAAAGAAATTGGAAGAATTTATCCAGTAGATATTAATATTATATACTTGACGTATCAAATTCCTTTTCTTTTTCTTTTAAATTATCTTCCAAACTATACTCAAAATTGAATAAATAGTAATTATAATGTTTGGGGATTGATGTTGTGGGGTCCATGTTTCTAAAAATATTTTATTATGTCCTTTTATTCATAACAAAAAAATTTCTTTTTTTTCTTTTTTTAAAAGGTAATTAGTAAACAGTAATACGAAAAAGGTGAATAATACTGAAATAAACTTTGATTAAATTACTAAATTAGAATTTAGTTCTATTATTTTAAAAATTAAAATTCCTTATTTGCGAGTATTTTATCCAATTTAATTTTAACATTTAAAATGATAAAAGATATTTACTTGTGTAAATATCCAATAAAATAAAAAGTGTTATTGCTTTTATTTTTAATAAAACTCCAAATTTATGGTAAATCCATATAATTTAATTTACAATAAATCTCAAAAAACTGACGTGGAATTAATTAATTAAATAATAATTTAAATATTTTTGTAGCTTAAACTCCAAACCACCTAATAAAAAGAAAGAATTTAAGGTAGATTAACAAAATTTAATTATTTCTCTTCTTAAATTTACATTCTCATTACACCCAAAAATTGGAAACTTTGGTTATATTAAAAAAAAAAAAAAAAAGATAATTATTAGTCCTAATTCAGTCAGCTTCGTCATCATCATTAGAATGGGAGTTGACGGAGGGAAAGTTGGGGGTCGCCGGCGTGGCCAAGAAACGGGGCGTTTGATCGCCGGCCATGATCACCAAAATCTTCTCTTCGTAAACCTTCGTTTCCGACAGTTCTTTGATTTTCTCGTCGTTTTGTTCATTATTTCCGCTCTCTAAATCTCTTTCTTCTCCTTGGGTTGACAATTTCCAGTACGAGCAGGCGAGGATCAGCAGCGCAAAGGCGATCAGACCCACCATCGCCGCCAGCCCGCCGAACAGATACGGCACCGGCGAGTGCCATGAAGTTCGCTGCCAGATTGTCTCTGTCTGTGGCGGCGCTGCGATGGCCGCGGAGGAGGAGGGGGAAATGTTTCTCATGTCGCCGGAAAATTGGATGGGTACTGACTTCTGGAGAGTGATGGATTTTGGGTGAAATTTTTAAGTGAGCGTCGAGAGTAGAACCGCCTCAATTATATTTATAGTGCGATGAAATCCCTGTTTTTTTTTAATTATTATTATTATTATTATTATATATTAAATTTAAATTTTAGTTTTTAATAATAAAATAAGTTTTTTATAATTAAGTTTGGCATTTATAAAAAAGATTTTTAAACTTTCAAAATTATTAAATTTGTTAAGAAGAAAGTTAAAAAATACTGTTAAACTAAATAATAATAATAAATATTTTTATCATTAGTTAATTTATGTAATGATCTACGTCGAGGATTTAGAGTAGAATTTAGAATCTGGATTCGACACTTGATGACCCTCACATTTTTCTACGACATGATCACGTTATTTATACATCACTTCTAACGTAAAGACTATTCCCATAGTCTTTCTAATATGGTTTATCTTCACTCACATACATCCTGTGAATATTTTACGTTTGAAAATGCTAGCGAAACGAGAGAGCTCCTCGTTTTTATTTAACGTTTTAAAATTTAATTTGGTATGAGACGAAAAAGAGAAATAAGAGAAGTAGAAAACGAAGAACGAAAAGAGAAGATCAAGAGAATATTCAAGAGAATAGAAATAAAAAGTCGAGTGACGGAATTGAAAATGAAATATATATATATAAACTATCGTCTATGTATCGCTGCTAATAACTTTTTAAAACTTTTCTTTTGTATGCTAACCGTATTAATACTAGTTTTGAAAGAACTCGATATTTATATATATATATATATATATATATAAATATCTTTGGTTGGAGAGGAGAACAAAACACTCCTTATAATAAAATATATTAAAAGTAATCCTCATAAATTTCAAATTTCAAAATTATAAAAATTTATAATTTAATTTTTATTTAATCTTATGAAAATTATGATAAGGATGACCGGAGACGTAGAATGCTGCCCGAATCTGACCGAAACTCAACCATAGTTTAATTTTGAAATTAAAGGAAATATATTCGTTACTATAGAACATTACATCACTACCCCTTCAAATCGTGTGACATTTTATTCACTTTTTCCACCTTGGATTACTAATTTAATATAAACTTTGGTCATATTAAAACCATTCCTTCTTATATTATTACAATTCCCATCATGTTTTTGGTTTTCTTTTTCTTTTACATTTCCTATTTTTTTTAATTATTTTAAATATTCTTGTAATTTTCAAGTTTCAAACCCGACATTTTCGTCCCGCTTTTAAGTCATGTCACTTGTCGTCTTGTCTTTTCTTATAAAGAATTACATCATATCATATCAATTTGTGTTAATGACAACTAGCTGTAAAGACGAGTATAATTTAGTGTTTACGAATATAACTATAGCTTTTTAAAGATAAAAGTCTAAAATGGTAGTTACTGTAACCGCTCAAGCTCGGTACTTGACTTTGATACCATTTGTAACAGCTCAAACCCATCACTAACAAATATCGGTCTCACGATCTTTAAAACAAATATGTTGGGGAGAGATTTTCACACCCTTATGAGACATGTTTCGTTACACTCTCGATCTCGCAATCCACCCTTCTTAGGGGCCCAGCGACCTTGTTGGCACACCACTCGGTGCCTAACTTTAATACCAATTGTAATAGCTCAAGTCCATCGCTTTGCTCGATGCTTGACTTTGATACCATTTGTAACTGCCCAAGCCAATTGCTAACATTGTATGTTTTTGCATGTTACGTATCATCGTTAGTCTCATGATTTTTAAAACACGTCTGTTAGGGAGAGGTATCCACACGCTTATAAGGAACAAAATTTTCACATGGAGGGTTATTCTCTGTACTAGTAAAGATCAGCATCAAAGGGTTTAGGGTTTAAGATTACGAATATTCTCGGTTAAACTTGTTTTATTGTAGCAACATCAAGGGTATTTTTGTAATAACTATCAAATATTTTAAGTACTTTTAACCATCGTATCTTCGAGATCACTCTCGACATATTCATATACCTCTCATTTACTCGATCGTTACTCATATTCTTATATGGTAATATTATCCTTTAAAACGTCTGTTCTTAATTGTATCATTATCTAATAACGTATGTATTAAGATAATTATTAATGAATTAATTCGCCTTTATTTTTCTTTTGTTTTATTTAAAGTTAGAATATGTTGAATTTTTTTTATGCTCCCATAAATTACTTTATATAAAATAAAGTTTCGAACTATTTATACAAGCTTGATTTGATGTACGTTTCGATGATCGTGAAATTTATTATTACTGTCATGGTCTATTTTAAAGATATTATAATTAATATTTATAAATAATTTGAATCTATGGAATATACAATTATATATATATATATATATTATTTTATGAAATTAATTTTAATTACATAAGGATGGGAAAATTTGTATTTTTTCTATTTATATTTTTCTTTTTTATTTTTGTTGAGATAATAAGTTTCTTTGTTTTTTTTTTTTTAAATTACAAATATTTTTAGTGAAATAGTTTATTTTTGAAAATTTGACCAATATTTAAAAATAGTTTCAAAAAGTGAAAATTAAAAAAAAAAAAAATAATAATAAAAGAGGGAAAAGTACAAATTGTACATATTGAAAAGAATAAATGAAGGTTAACAATTTGGGGAATATCAAAAGAAAAAGGTATAATTTTATGTAATTTATTTAAATAAAAAATATTATAAAATTAAAATTATTATAAAAATCTACACTAAAATATCTAATTTTTAATAACTATTTATGTTTTTTTGTATTTAAAATTCTATTTATAAACATTATCATATGTTTTTTAAAAATATTTTTAAAATTTTAAATAGGACGAAATTAATAAAAATATTTTTTATATTTATTTCAAAAATACCTTAAATTTTAGAAAATACTGTTCGAGTTTTCAAAAATTTTATTAATACTATAATTTTTTTAAAAAGTTCAAAAATACACTTACCACGTATGTCAATGCTAATTTTTAAAATTTTATAAATATTTTTTAAATATAATATTAACTATATATATATATATATATTTTAATATGGAAAGTTTTTTTTTTTCTTTTTTTTTTCCTAATCCAAGTTTGATTCTGAGCATTATGGTGTGATTAGCTTATCTCGCATTTTTCAAAGTGTTCGTAAACTCATTATTCGTAGAGTAGAGGTTGGTGTCAGAAGATCCTTGTGCCAGTGAAGATTATTTCTAGTGATCGAAAAATCTAAAATCTAAAAGCCACTGGTAGGGTCACGAGTATAATACCGCATCATATTCGAGATGGGCTGGGAGAACTCGTAGGAAGGTGGGACGACTCACTGAATTCACA